ACCGGGGGCTGAACCCAGGGGCACTTAAGTACTGAAGAACGTCCCCAGCCCTTTTTTTATGTCTCATTAGAGGCAGGGTCTCCCTGAGTTGCTTAGGGCCTCGGTAAGTTGCTGAGGCTGGCTTTGAACTTGAGATCCTCCTGCCTCAGCCTCCCGAGCTGCCGGGATTACAGCGTGCACCACCGCACCAGGCCAAAATGGCCACTTTGGATCAGTTTTGAGGAGATGTTTGCTGGATGGATGCAACTCAAACAAGAGCGAGATAGGATTTTTAAATAAGTAGAGATGCATGGGGTGAAGAGAGGAGAGGACAGCATTCCAGCAGAAGGAACAGCAGGTGCAAATGCCCGGTGGTCAGAGAGAACCCGCGAAGTACCGAAGTGAGGGAGACTGGCAGGCTGTTCCTAGCATTCGCTTCAACGACCCCTCTCAGAGCCTCTGGTGAGTCCTCACAGTCTCAGGTGGCCCAGAGGAGAGCAGAAACCAGGCTGGGAGAAGCCTGGACCCTGAATGGCCACAGGGAGCAGAGTCTCCCTCAGCTACCTGCACCGGACCAGGACGGATGTGGTGTCCCTTCTCACGGAGCGAAGGCACCAGCACCTGTCAGCCGGGGCTGAGTCAGGGCAGCGTGGCTGGGAGGTGGAGCGTGGTGTGAACGAGGTGAGGGACATCGGCAGGTTAGGGACAGGCCATGTTGGACCTTGTGGGGCCACGGGACCACGTTCTGTGATGGGAGGTGAGTGGAAGTGACAGGAATGACCTACAGCCCGTGTCCTCAAGGGAAGGCAGGGAGCCTTTCTTCAGGCTGTCCCCATCCTGCATCTGGGCCGCGTAGCATCCTAAGGAAGGTGGAGCCTCAGATGACCTCCCCCGTGGAGCCCCAGTTCCCTGGTGCCGTGGTCTCATCTCTCATTCACTTATTCATTCAACAACCGTCATGAAGCCCCTCTTGTGTGACGGAAGTCACGGGGCTGGCCGTCTAATGGACAAGAGAAACAAATGTCCACACAAAGACTTAATGATACAGTCTGGTAAGTGAGACTGTAACCAAGGGGTGACATTTACAAACGGGGTAGCCAGGAAGTTCTCTCTGGGGAAATTTGAAGTTTTTCCCAGGGGACAATGGAGGGATTGTCACAGTGTCCCCTTGCCTGCTGTTCTAAAGGGCAGTGGGAATTGCCGGAGCGTTGGTCAGCGGACGACTGGACGAGGCAGCGTCTACAGTGTCGCCTCTGGGACGCAGCCAGGCTCTGGAGCTGTGGGGCAGTCCCCTCCCCACTGTCACCCAGAAGGAAGTAACTGACTTCTCCTTTGACCACAGAGGGAAGGGCAGGAAGGGAAGAGGTTCAGCAGGACACTCAGGTGGGAAGGATGCCAGGGGCTCTCCAGCAAGTCCTGACCCTCGGGCAGACCAGGGAAGGCCTCCCAGGGCGGCCACGGAGTCGGCAAGGACACTTGTGGCTGCTGGGGATTATTACTACTACTGTTTGTGAAAATTAGTATTTAGAAGCTGGGTTCGGTGGTGCACACCTGGAATCCCAGTGGCTTGGGAGGGTGAGGAAGGAGGATCGGGAGTTCAAAGCCAGCCTCAGCAAAAGCGAGGCCCTAAGCCACTCAGTGAGACCCTGTCTCTAAATAAAACACAAAATAGGCCTGGGGATGGGGCTCAGTGGTTGGGTGCCCCTGAGTTCAATCCCCAGTGTCAAGAAATAATATCAGGATTTTGAGCTGCGTTGTCTAATACAATAGCCACTAGCCACAGGTGCCTCTATGCATTAAAATTAAAATGAATTAGAGTTAAAGAAGCTTAAAAGCCCAGTTCCTCAGTTGCAGTGTTCACATACCGAGGGGCACTAGTCTGGAAGGTGACCTACGACTACGGACCCAGACCATTTCCACCAGTGCAAAGTTCTACTGGGAGGTGCTGACTGGGCCAGGCTCTGGAATTGGGCAGACTTGACCTGGCATCATGCAAGGCTGTGTGACACTGGTCAGGTCGCCTTCCCTCTCTGAGCCTCACTTTCGTCCTCTATACCTGAGCACAATGCCATTTACCTGACAGAGAAGGGGAAGGGGGCCCTGGCTCCAGGGAGGGGGCCACGGGACAGTGCAGTATTGGACACAGAATTTCAGAGCCAGGTGGCCCGGGTCAGTGACCATGCTTCACATTCCACCTGTGTGACCCTGGGCGAGTCACTCCACCGCTCTGAGCCTCCCCGGCTTTGTCTGAAAAATGGAGCTGCGTCCTCCTGTCCTCAGTGGGCGCAGGAAGGAAGCACACTGCATGGGTCACTTCAGGTGCCCAGGTGGTGGCCTTCCCCTGGAGCGTCCTCAGGGACAGGATTTGAGCTCAGGTGGGGACAGTGATTGCTAATCGATTTCCTGTGTCAGGGGCTTCGAGTTGGTCGGGGAAGCACCGAATGCTCTCGGATGATAGATCCGCACAAGTGGTGAAGGGTCCTGCCCCCGCTGTCTGACAGGGTCACAGGTGGGGGGTGCTGGGCAGGGCCCACCACCTGGAAACCGGAGCCATCGGGAGTGTCAAGTGCTCTGTTTGGACAACAGGGCGTGCGTCAGTCAATAATAAAGAGTACGAGTTGCGTGAGATTGTGGGAAAATTCCCAGAATGAGACTAAGGATGCAGTGGAGACAGGCCCTGAGGTGCGTTTCAGTGTCTCCCAGGATACAGACCATGGTGTATTCCCCAACCTGAACAACGAGAAATATTTATCCCATGGTTAACAATTTACACTAGCCCCCCCCCCCCCATCCTAAAGCCACAACCTGTACAACTCCTAGCTACAGAGAAACAGATGCTGTGCCCACAGTACAAGGACCACCCTGCGTAGCTTCTGGGATCCCCCCGAGGACAAGAGGCTAATAAAAATACATTCCCCAACCAAGAGACCCTCCTTTGCCTTAAGCAGAAACTTAGGATGAAACTGGAAAACACATAGTTAATATTAATGACAAGTGGGTCGAGGTGCCAAGCCTGCCCTTTAGTTAAAGATTACAAAGACACAGGAATTGGTGTGCGTTGACCAAAGATCAAGGAAGTTCTTTAAGAAAGCAGTTGATTAGGTCACACGGAGAAAGGAGATTACCTTGGAAATTAAAAATAGAGTAATGTAAAGTTAACGTAGATCTATTTTAGAGGCACTTCAGAGTGGTAGGCTTTTAAATATAGACTTTCACTACTTTAAGTGTGTTTTACTGGGATTTTAGTTTAGAAGTAAGAACGCTCACCAATAATCATAAGTACGCTTTAAAGTTAAAGGTTAATGAAATAATTATAGGTATGCTTTAAAGTTAGAAGTGCATAATAGGTCAGGAGTCGTGTAGTCTAGCTGCGTCGCCTAGCACCTAGTGATTGAGAAGTGAACGTAAAAGCTGAATCGTGTTTGTCTAAGGTTACAGAAGAATATTTTGAACAATGTACTCAATATCTAGGTAATCAATGTATGTCAGGAGAGATTGTAACTCTTGAAAATTATGTAAATCAAAAAGTTTTGGGCTGTGAAGCTATCCATTAACTACCTGAAAAAACACCTGTAAAAAAAGGTACAAAAATAAAGGTCCCTCCAGGGGCAGGGAGCTGTCTTCTGGAGGCTGCTCCTAACTTACAATCTGTCACCCGACTCTTCTTCTTTCACGGATGCCACTCCTCCTCCAGGACCCCTGGTCCCTCACTCCCCCAGCCAGGGCTGGACCTTGGCACACAAGGGTCATCGACGATGATGTCCCCGATGCCTGCCATCTGTGAGGCTTCGCTGGGGAGACCAGTCCCCTCCCTGTCTAATTTCCATCTGATTTCTATATGTGCCATGGATTTCTGGGGGCTGTGGCCACCTCCCCATCTTCTCTGTATTGGGAAAGTTTCTTTTTTTTTTTAAGGAGCAAAAACGACCTCAATGTACATAAGACATATTTCAGGATCTGCCCAGCCGATGAGCGAAGTCCCCCAGCTCTAGGAGCCGCACAGAAGGGCTGACCTGGACATCAGCTGGCGCTGTGTGCGGCCCCACGGCCATGGCGATGGAACCAAGGGCAGCGCAGGACCATCAGATGCTCCTCCCGGGCTTTGGAAGCAGGGACGGGGCGGCTGAGCTGGGCTGCTCCCTTGAACACAGGTGTTAGGGACGGAAGGTCTCTCCCCACGTGGATGGAGACGGTGCGACACCCTCGTGCGGAGACAGAGGGCGCGCAATGGGAAGCCCGTGTCCTGGAGAAGGGGACAGAGGCGCGGCGGTGACAGGCTGAGAGCAGTAGCCACGCACTTCTGCCTCAGGTGGTGGCAGATTGCCAAAATGGCCACGCATTCAACCCCTCTCAGCAACAGGTGGAGTTGGTCTCCTCACCCCTGCAATGGACCGGCCAGTGACTTGCTTTGACCAGCAGAATGTGGCGGGAATGATTGTGTGCCAGTTCTGAGCTGGGACCTCGAGCGTCCCTGCAGCACCTGCTCCCCCACCTTGGAGCCCTGACTCTGTCACGGGAATGAGCTTGGGTCACCTGCTGGAGGGCAAGTCCACATGGGAGAGGCCTGAGGTCGGTGCCTCAGTGGAGGCTGTCCTAGTCCCGATAGCTCTAGGCAGCCCATCACCTGACTGTAGATGCAGGAACAAGCCCAGCAGCATCCAGAAGAACTGCCCAGCAGAGCTCAGCCCAAACTGACCGACTGCGCACAGAATTGTGATTAAATAAACGATTGTTTTCAAGTTGCTTTATTTTGGGGGTCATTTGTTACCTAGCAGATGCTGACGGATACACCTAGGATTCTTAGAAATCTTCCTGGATCCTAATATTAAAGTCTTCCTTTACATTTATTTTTATTTATTTGTTTGTTTATTTATTTTGCAGTGCTGACACTGGAACTCAGGGCCACATGCATGCTAGCCAAGCACTCTGTCCCTTAGCTGCACCCCAAACTTTAACCCCACCCCTTTTTTTGGTACCAGGGATTAAAACCAGGGACTCATAGCCACTGAGCCACACCCCAGCCCTTTTAAAATACTTTATTTAGAGACAGTGTCTTGCTGAGTTGCTTAGGGCCTCACTAAGTTGCTGAGGCTGGCTTTGAACTTGTGATCCTCCTGCCTCAGCCTCCTAAGCCGCTGGGATGACAGGCCACAGTATCTGGCATCCCCCCCTGTTTTGGGGGGTTCCGTTAGTGAGTTTCTTTTACTTGCAGCTCCAAATGTGGAAGAAACACAGACGGCCTGCTTAGGTAGCTTTCAAGGGCTTGGTGAGCTGGACAGTCGGGGCCCGGGCAGTTGGCAGGACAGAGAGGAGCAGTCCTGGGCTCTTGGCAAATCATCAGGGAACCAGGAGGGAGGAGGTCCCCGAGGACCCCCTGCTCAGGAGCTTGTCCTGTTCCCTGAGCCAGGATTTCCTTTCACCTCCCCGAGGTCACGGGCCAGCTGCACGCTCATCACCTCTGTCAGTCAGTGCTGGGATGAAGACAGGGGGACAGAGGGAGAGTCACTGTCACCATCAGACCTGAAGCCCTAGCCCTGGTGCGACCCGACTTGAGGCCTGCGTCTTCAGCAGTGTTCAGTGACCTCGGCGGAAGGTCCCCACGTGGCTCCTTCCCTGCTGGATGAGTGGCACCGGCCCCCACACTCCCTGTCCCCCTCCAGGCCTTCCCTCCGTGCCACTCAACCTCATCTGACCCACTCTCCAGGTCTTCCTTGCTCAACGTGGGTATCACGGGCATCCCCGAGGGGGACACGGGGTCCCCAAGGGACTCTTCATGCTTAATCCCCTGGGACCGCAGCACCCGGCACAGGGTGGGCTGAGGTAGGTACGACGAGGGGACCGGGCAGCCCCTCCGGGTCCCTGGCACTGCTTCAGGTGCTGTGAGATCCAGCCCTCTTCACATCAACCCTGGGTGGTGGGTGCTTTTATTCTGGTCCCACTTTGCAGATTGGCCAACTGAGGCACAGGGTAAGTGTCTACCTGGTGGAGCCCAGGCACCCAGCTCCAGTGCCTCTCTGTTGCCTGATGTTGCTTCCTGAACTGATGAAGCAGCGGGGCATATGGGAGGTCAGGGTGACCCTCTCTGATGGAGTCCTTGGCTCCTTCTTTTTTCTTTCTTTTTTTAGCACCAGGGATTTAACCCTGATGTGCTCTTACCCCTGAGCCACATCCCCAGCCCTTTTTATTTTTATTATTTTTTTAAAATTTTTGAGACAGGGTCTCATTAACTTGCTTAGGGCCTCCCTAAGTTGGTGAGGCTGGTGTCCAACCTGTGATCCTCCTGCCTCAGCCTCCCTAGTCACTGGGATCCAAGGTGGGCACCGCCACAGCCGGCTGTTTAGGTCTGTCTCTATGCAGAGGGAGCTCTGTATGTGGTGGGGGCCAAGTGGACGGGCCCAGTGGTCAGGGAAGGGACAGCTGTACCATAGGTTCTTCACGCAGAAGAAGACCGCGACGCCGAGCAGCGTGATGAGCCCGATGGCAGATGCTCCTGTCAGGGTCAGGCCGGGGTCGTGCCGAATGGGCCACGCAGGAGTGGGCTCCACGTCGACTTCTGGGGACCAGGGAGGAGCCAGGGTGCAGAGCTGCCCGCCCTCCCGCACATTCCCACTCCCATCTTCCACCTCTGGGTCACCCGGGACCCGGCCTCCACCCATCCGGCCTCTGCCAAGCTCCTCCCCAGCGGTCGCTGCTTCCTGGCCCCCACCTCCCCACCAGCTGGAAGCCGCAGGGTCTTTCTTTTCTCTTTTCAAACTTTTTTTTTTTTTTTTACTTATTTATCTATTCTTTCTATCTATCTATCTGTCTGTCTGTCTGTCTATCCGCTTCGCTGGCGCGTGCTGGGGCGCAGAGGGGAGAGAGGGCTGGAGCTGGGACCCGGTGCAGATCCTGTCCTGGGCTTTCATTAGCGTCAGCCTCTTTCAGCCTCAGCCACAGCTGGCTTGCTGGAGGGAAGGACAGACGACACTTTGGCTAGAAAGGGTCTCACAGAGCCGGGCGCGGAGGTGCACTCTTGTAACCTCAGCGGCTTGGGAGGCTGAGGCTGGAGGATCTCAAATTTGAGGCTAGCCTCAACAACTTAGCAAGAATCTGTCTCAAAATAAAAAGTAAAAAGGGCTGGAGAGGGGGCTCCGAGATTAAGCGCCCCTGGATTCAAGGATTCAATCCCTGATCCAGAAAAAAATAGGGGGGGGGCCTCCCAGGCTTCTGGAAGGTGCTCAGGAGAGCCCTGAAGTCCGCCGCAGACCAGCCGGAGTGCAGCAGGGGTCCTGGGTGGGGGGGACTCCCGTGGCTCAGGTGGCAGTGAGACGGTCACAGGGTAGGAGGGCAGCAGCTGCTGGCTGTTCCTGCCCGTGCACACGTAGGTGCCCAGCAGCTCCCGGGACAGTCGCCGGATGAACAGCTTCTCTCCGGTGCCACAGAGCCTCCCGTCGAGGGTCCAGGTCAGCTCGGGCTCGGGGTCCATTGTGACCGTCCACGCCATGATCACCGAGAAGTTGAGGTCGCTGTAGATGATGCCCCGGACGGTGCTGGGGGATGTCCGCAGCTGCACTTGCCTGGGGCTGTCTGTGGGAACAGGGAGCAAGGCCACCGGGTGGAGGCCGCTCAGGGAGGCTGGCGCTTCTGCCCGCCGCAGAGGCTGCACTCATCCATCCACCCCGAAGGAGCCCCGAGCCGCTGGCCTGGGGTGGCGCCCGCTGAGACCACAGTGGACAGAACTTTTGGTGCCCCGACCCCTCGCCCTCCCCACGACTGCCAGCGCCTGGAGCCCCCAGGGGCTCGGGTGGGAGCATCGGGGCTTGTCCCACACCAGGCCCTGAGCTGCTCAGTGGGGTTGCGCTCCGTTGCCATGGTGATAACCAGCCCCTGCCTTCTCTTCCTGTGCACCCCCAGCCCTTCCCAGCTCCCCAGCAGTTAACCATGGGCATCTAATTCGGGGTGAAGCAAATCGAGGATCCTGGGCTCAGCAGCAAGAGGACAGACAGCAGCCTCATGGAGTGGGAGAGGGAGTGGGGGGATAATCAGTGGACCGGTGGGTGCATATATAGCTGGGGTGAGGTAAGAACTGTGAAGACAAAGATGAGGGGGTGGGTTGGACTGGAGGTGGGGCGAGCCCAGTTCAGGTCAAAGAAAGGCAGATCTGAGAGGTCGTGAGACCCTGTGGGACCCCTGGGCTGTGGGGAAGACTTTTTTGTTGTTGTTGTGGCCCCAGGGATTGAACTCAGGAGCACTCCACATCCTTTTTACATGTTTTTGAGACAGGGTCTCACTAAGTTGCTTAGGGCCTCTCTAAGTTGCTGAGGCTGGCCTCAAATTCGAGGTCCTCCTGCCTTAGCCTCCCGAGCTGCTGAGATTACAGGTGTGTGCCCCGCACCCGGCCAGGGGAAGGACCTTGACTCTGAACGAGGTGGGAGTCTCTGAAGAGGAGGGAAGAGGGCTGGCTTAGGTGTGAAGGGCATCACTTTGGCTGCCACGGGGGAAACCGACTTTACGGCTGCAGGAGTGGGAAGCGGGGAGTGAGCGAGGAGGTGACCCAAGGGTCCGGCGTTCCCTTTCCACGATTTTTCAGGGAAAGGGCTTTGAGATCTGGGGATCCTGGGGCCAGGCCTCAGGGACGGAGAGGGATACATCTGGGGTTTGAACTTGGGCCGCCTGACATTGTGGCACATGCTGGGACCTCCACCCAGAGCCCAGGTCCACCTTCAGCGCAGTGTGAGAAGTGAAAAGGACCTGGGCACAGCCAGGGGCTCCTGGAGGGCTTCCTGGAGGAGGCGGTGCCCGGCTGGGCTCGGAGCAGGAGAGGGCGCCCAGCAACGGGAGGCATGACCTCCACCAAGACAGCCACCGGCCCTGGGGTCCTCCGTGAGCCAAGTGCCACTCATGGCTTGTCCGTGGGAGGTGGAGCCATCTAGAAGGTGTGATCAGCATTTAAACACGAACAGAAACACCATCAGGGCATCAGGCGTGGCCAGCTGTCACCTCGCAACCCGCCCCCTGCCCTGGGGCTGCACTCACTGTTGGAGCGTCCCTGTCCCCTGCTGGTTCCCAGCACCGTGGCACCGCTGTCCGCATCTGTCACATTGGTGATGAGCAGGGGGCCCCGGGAGCCCAGCCACTCCCTGCCCATGTGAGCCGGTCCTCGGAGGCCCTCGGGAGAGACCACGGCTGCCGGCTGGGCCTCGCGCCCTGGGAACCGTGAAGCGGTGCGGAGGCCATCGGGGCTCCCGGGGACAGGCGGGCGGCCACCGCCTCCCTCTGCCAGGGGCAGCTCCAGGGACGCAGAACAGGTGCTGGTGCTGCAGGCGAGCAGGGTGCCTTGAGGTGGGGAGGAGGGACGGGGACACAGTGAGATGCTGCCCACACGGGCTGGTGATGGCGCTGCACAACCATCAGAGCTAGACCAGGTCCCTGGTGCCACACGGGTCACAATCCAGTCGTCCTTGAAGCCACCCCGCAAAGCACCCAGCACTGCCGTGCCACGGTCACGGGGCCAGCACCTTTCTCTGCTCTGCTTCCCAAAAGGCTGACTTCCCTGGGCGACGGCCTGGGCTCCCCTGGCCTGTTGCTGCTGGCTGGCTTCTGCCGGTGGGTGACTCCTCTCTCCCTCGCATTAGACCGTCTGTTTCTTGCCTCAGCCCTGATTGATATGACTATTATACCCCATGACAGATAAGAAACCAGAGTCAGGGAATGTAAGACAGCTGTGTCTGATGTCATAGGTGTGACAGTCTGTTTTATAGGCAGGGAAACCAAGGCACAGCAGGCTTGAGTCTCAGACTTGGGGTCTGTCTTAGTCTGTCTTGTGTTGCTATCACAAAATACCCGAGGCTAGTGCTTTATAAAGATAAGAGGTTTATTTGGTTCTGGTGGCTGGAAAGTCCAAACAACAAGGTTCCACACTGGTGAGGGGGCTCCTTGGCTGTGTTGCAATGTGGTGCAGAAACAAAGGGAACCTCCATATGCAGAAGGGGCCAAGCACACAGGGTGGATTTGTTTTATGACAACCCACTTTTCTTTTCTTTCTTTTTTTTTTTTTAATTGGTACTGGAGATTGAACTTGGGAGTGCTGTACGACTGAGCCATCTCCTCAGCCCTTTTTATTTTCTCTTTTGAGACAGGATCTTGCTAAGGTCTTGTTGAGGCTGGCCTCAAACTTGTGATCTTCCTGTCTCAGCCTCCTGAGCTGCTGGAATGACAGGCATGAGTTACCACACCCAGCTCACAACCTGCTCTTGACAGAACGAATCCAGTCGTAGGAGACCTCACCCACTCCTCCCTGCTCCTTAGACATGGGCATCACATGAAGGATGATGCTCCCATGATCTAATCATTCCCCACTAGGCCCCACCTCTTAAAGGGTCCACCACCCATTTCTCATTCTCATGCCCAGTGAGGAGGCCTGGGGCAACCTACCACCCTCTCCTCAGCTCAGCTGCAAATCACCCGGACCTGACCTGTCACCTGTGCCTCCTCTCTGCGACTTTGCTTCTTCTGCTTTTCTGTACCTTGCTTTGAGACTTTTCAAAAATACATTGGCACATATATGTAGCTATATATAATCTATAGTTTTGTTGATGCAGAATCCATAGGACATATCATTCACTCAGCCCCACATGTTCATCATTTTGAAATCTCAACGGGTTATACACCAGTGTGCGGTATGGCGTTTAGAAGCATGATGGGATGATATCTGATAAACGATAACATCGTCTTTTCTTTCTAAAGGTTAATTAATTATTTTAATTGGCGAGTACAAATTTATATATTTATGGTGTACCACTTGGCGTTTTAAAATATTTCTCCATTGTGCAATGACTCAACTGAGCCAATTCCCACATGCATGACTTCACAGCCTGTGACCAGAACACTTAGAATCCACTCTTTGCATCAACAATTCAAGTGTGCAACTGAGGGGCTTTGCATATCCCCACCACCTGCATTCTAGTGCTCAAAGGTGACCATTTGGGGAGGCACATTTCCCTTGAGGATTGTACAAACATCATCACAATCAATTTTAGAACATTTTCATTACCCCCCAAAGAAATCCTGGGCTGGGCACCATGGGGCACCCCTATAATCCCAGCTGCTCAGGAGGCTGAGGCAGGAGGATGGCAAATTAGAGGCCAGCCTGGGCAACTCAGTGAGATCCTGTCTCAAAAACTAAAAAGGGCTGGGGACGGAGCTCAGTGGTCGAGCCTTACCTGTAAGCTGTGTGAGGCCCTGGGTTCCATCCTTAGCGAGGGGTGCGGTCGGCTGGCCCCTGTTTTGCCCAGTGGCACAGCTGATTGGCATTGGACCCGCGTTCCTTCCGCGCCTACTCATGATACCGAATGCGAATTGTCTCCCGGCTTGACCATGTCTATGAGCATCTGGCTCTCTTTCTTAATCTCCTTCTTTTTAGTGCTATTTAAATAACCGCGTTTCTCTAAAGCAAGAGTTCTGGAATCATCTATGCGGTTCCAGCTCTGAAATCTCATCCTTTGTCTTCTTAAAAGTTAAGAATAGTTAAAAATAAAAAGTCTGAGGACAAAACAAACCAGGAACCTCTGTCCCCAGCTGAGGTCTAGCCCCGTGGGGCTCCCTGATGGCCCTGCCAGCTCCCAAGGCCTCGGGGAGGGGACTGGGGCTCCTGGGGAGGAGAGGGGCGGCAGGGCCCCCAGTGAGGCTTCTTTGAGGAGACCTGGTGCATGTCCGAGCGAGGGTGGCTTGAAGGGAACTTCTTGGAGACCTTGGAGTGTGGGAGAAGGGGACTCAACCTGTACGTCCCCAGATGAAGGACAGGGTGGGTGAAGCTCACGGGGACAGGCGGGATGCACATGGCCTGCGCGTTCCTTCCTCCCTGCCCACAGCCTCAGGGTCCCCGAGGACAGCTCTGACTGGCGGGAAGAACACAGAGAGAAGAGGCCCACAGAGTCTTGTCCTCACAGGCTGAATTGGGGACCCAGCAAATCTTGAAATTGGGTGATCTGGGGTTTAAAAATGACACAGATCTGGACTTTTTAAGGCCTGGAAGAGAGGGCAACTCATTTATTATCTAGAGGCCCGCGTGTGGTCTCTGCAAAATGTGGTCTCAGTCGCCAAAGAATCCAGCCTCAAATTACTCACTTTTCTGCCACTTCCAAGCTGTGTGAGCTGGGGTCGGCACTCACTAAACCTCCCTGAACCTCGGTCTCTTCTTCTGTGAAATGGGGATCATACGGCCCCTGCCCGAAGGGGTTATATTCCTGCCTGGAAAGCCGCAGAAGGGGCTGGCCGTCGACGTACTCAGGTACAGTGACCGCTTATCACCGTTACTGCTATAGTTTATTATTCTTATTGTTTCATTGGCTCGTGGACAGCTGTGGTGAGACAGGGTACTCTGGTGGAAAGGGTCTGGGCTGGGATTCTGGATTCCGGTGGTGCCATCGGCCAGCCCCTGTGGTCTGGAGTAGGTGCCCTGTCCCCACTCGGTGCCTCACTGTCCTCCTTGGTAAAGGGGTCTGTAGTGTCGCCGGTTGGGCTGGAGGGGGTGTGGTTCAAGAGCGCTGTGAACTGGCTGCCTGGTCTTTAAATTGACCAGAGCAGGGTGACGTTGACTGTACGGAGACTCTTCCTGGGGAGTCCCCCTCTTGTCCCCAACCCATGGGGAATCGATTTCTCTCACTCACCTATTAGAAGCAGCTTCTTCCAGGCAGGGCTGTGACCGGAGCAGGTGTCGGGAGGACACTTCATGACGCTGCGCTGTGCCTGGGACTGAGCTGGGAGCGTCCTGCTGGGCGCTGCAGCTCAAGGTGATGGGTGGCACCGCAGTTAAGCCGCCGGGCCCCGCCCACAGCCCCGGCCCCGCCCCGGACCGCCCACAGCCCCGCCCCGGCCCGCCCCGGCCCCGCCCTCAGCCCCGCCCCGGCCCCGCCTCCCGCTGCCTTTAGGAAGCCACTCCAGCCCGGTTTCCCCAGTCCCTGGTCGGTGGTAGTGGAAGGGCGCAGGGACCCAGGGATTTCCTCCTCCTTCCCCACCCCGCAATCCTCCCTGGGAGAACCGTGTCGGTGAGGCCAAAGAGCCTTCTGCCCGCAAAGTGGAGCAATGGGCAAAGGTCCCAGGTAGGTGGCCGCGGGCCCAGGGCTGGCCTCCTGGCTTCCGGCCCAGGCTCTGTGACCATCCGCTCTGAGCTTCAGCTTTTGTCCCCTGTAAAATGAGTATGCAGCCAGGTGCCTCGTCGAAAGCCCGCAATCCCAGAGACTCAGGAGGCTGAGGCAGGAGGATGGCAAATTCAAGTCCAGCCTCAGCAATTTAGCAAGACCCTGTCCTAAAATAAAAGATAGAAAGGGCTGGGGGTGCAGCTCCTTGTTAAAACACCCCTGGGTTCAATCCCCAGTACCCAAATAAATAAGTAAATAAAACTAAAACAATTAAAAAATAAAAATAAAAAATAAAATCTAAAAATGAGGGTGTTAATAATAGAGCCTGTCCCAGAGGCAGAGGGACTTCAGTGTTAGGGCCAGGGTGCATGTAGGTGCTCAAGGAAAACCGGCAGCTATTAAAATAATGCTAATTACTATTATTGGTATCCAGGGTGCCCCAGAAGCATGTTCAGAATTACTTTACTAGGACTCTGCTCATACTATATCCTGAAGTTAGATACTGGAAGGATTAACCAGAAAATCTCCTTTTCCTGACCCTACTGACTCTCCAGGCTCATTGCTTCCTCCTCAAATTAATAGAGGTTGTAGAACATGCACAAGGTCCTGGGTTTCATTTCCAGGAATGAAAAAACAAAGCAAAACAAAAAATTTTTCTACTGTTCAAATGAATAGCTGGTGTTTATTGAACACTTACTGTCTGCCACGCACATCGGCAGCTTTCTTGCAACTGTTGCCTGATCAAGTCCTCACTGAAACCTCCCAGGGGTGGCTATGGCCATTCTTCACTTTCCAGTGGCTCATAGAGGCTAAGTATCTGACTTTGCACAGCTATTCACAGTGACTTCAGTGTCAGTTCTTGGAGGGAGCCACCTCAGGGCCTTTGCACTTGACATCTCTGCTCCTTAGAGCAGAGTCTTGTGGCTGTGTCTTGTGATTCTGGTCTCAAATCAGATGTCATCTCCTCAAAAAGGCTTTCCTAACAGAACCGCTGCAACTCAGCTACCCGGCTCCTTGCTACTGAGCCACGTTCCCCCCCCCCCCACTTCCCAGTGTTTTCTGGCATGATCTCATTTATTGCTTTGTTCACTTGTTTGTCATCTGTCTCCTTCTTCCCTCCCTGCCTTCCCCAGAATGTCAGATCCAGGAGACAGGGGTTTTTTTCTGACTCATAGCTGTGCACATCATAGAGCCTCATCATATTTTTTTTTAAGTGAATAAATGAACAAGTGAGTGAGTGAGTGAGAGTGTTGGGATTTGAACTCAGATCTGTCTGACTCACAGGCTTGTTTTTCCTTCCTAGAGAGGTCCAGGCTCCACCCAGGGGCAAAGATTCACCCCCGAGACTCTGATAATAGTCATTACCCGGAGACTTGGCTATTTATTAGCATTTGCCAATCAGCCACCTCTTTATGGCCTGTCTGGCTGCTGCTGGGTGCTGGGCCGGCCAGGAGACCATGAGAGTCTGGGCAGGTAGCTGCAGGGTGCGCAGGACTCTGGTGTCTGCTCCTTCCGCTTCACCCTGTTTTATTTTATTTTTGGAACTGGGGACTCAATCCTGAGCACTCTACCATTGAGCCCCATCCCCAGTCCTTTTATTTTTTATTTAGAGACAGGGTCTTGTTAAGTTGCTTAGGGCCTCACTGAGTTGCTGGGTCTGACCTCGAACTTGTAATCCTCCTGCCTCAACTTCTGGAGTCATGGTACACCACCCAGGTAGCCGCACTTGGACTTCCCTTTGGAAAATCCACACCCTGGGGGCTTCAGAGAGGGGAGGGGCTTAGGACTGACCAATCAGAACGCTTCACACCCCCTACCACCACCACCACAGTGGCAGGGGCCACATGATCCCCATTTCACAGAAGAAGAGACTGAGGCTCAGGGAGGTTTAGTGCCCTCCCCAGCTCACACAGCTTGCAAGTGGAAGAAAAGTGAGCAATTTGAGGCTGGATCCTTTGGCAACTGAGGCCACATTTTTCACAGACCACACTCGGGCCTCTAGATAATAATTGAATTGCCCTCTCTTCCAGGCCTTAAAAAGTCCAGTTCTGTGTCATTTTTAACCCCCAAGCCACCCAATTCCAAGCTTTGCTTGGTGCGCAACCTGTGTTACCCTACAGTGAGGACAAGACTCCGTGGGCCTCTCTCTCTGTGTGTCCTTCCTCCCAGTCAGAGCTGTCCTCTGAGGCCCTGAGGGCGTGGGAGGGGGGAGGGCACATGCAGGCCACTTTCACCTCACAGTGAATGATGGTGTGACTCTGGGCAACCAGAGCATCTCATGTCCCAGTGATGGCTTGAGAGTGGGGCAGCCAGGAGGGAGCAATCCTGGGGCTTTTATTGGAACTCTGGGGAACAAGGCATTTAGTTTTCTTTTGAATTTGCTACTGGAGGGATGTGGGTGCAGCTGCTGGCTCCATCTTTCTCCTACGAGTAGAGAGACGGCCTAACAATGAGGCCAACATATAGGAAAGCAATAGTGTCAGTAGAGAGACTTCTGATGACATCATTCAGACGCCTAGATTCACCCGTGCCTGAAGTCCACGCGAATCCTTGTGTTATTCTCATCTAACGTTCCCACTGTTTTTCCTGAACCAGTTCCATTTGGGATTCAGCTACTCGCATCCAAAAGGTTCAGCTGATTGAAAGCAAAGATGAATAGTGATTCGAGAGGATGAGACTCCCGATCGAGGGGAGACGGAGGATGGATAAGGGACATAACAGTCAAACTGACCCCAGAGGGAGGAGGAGGCCTGAGCAGGTCGGCATTTCCCACCACTGCAGAGCTCCAGCCGGCCCCTGCGGTGAGAGACCAGCTCTACCTGACCGAAGCTGCTCAGGGACCCGGGGACAGCTCCCTGTTACAAAGCCTGCCTCGGCGAGTTTCAAGCTGCTGGGAGAATCCACGTCCCTCCAAACTCCCTTCCCTGAGCCATGTCAGTGTCTCCAGCAACTCTGGAATGCCACCCTCTCTCTGGGTGCTGGCACCCAGGGCCTGGTGTCTGCTCGGTGCACTGTCCCGCTGGGCCACCTCAGCCTGAGGGGACACTGTCCCTTGGAAACCCTGCGGGAAGGCAGGGCCTGCCTCCCACTCTCTGTGGGAGGATGGAGTCCCAGTTCTCTGGATTGGCAGTAGGAGGTCACAGTGACACTGAGCCACCTTCGTTATTCCCCACTGTGTCCCCTCTGTCCCCCTCCCACTGTCCCCTTCAGAGGCCCCGTCACCTCCACACACCTGGGCCCGGAGCTCTGCCCCTCCGCGGGCCACAGTAGTTGCTGAATGAAACCCGCGAGGCTGAGGGTGGGACCCCTGCCGACACCCCAAGTCTGCTGCCCTGGCTCGCTGGGTGGCCCCGCGCCCTCTCCAGAGCCGGGCTCTCTCCTGACCCTTCCTCGTGACCGCACGCGCCTCCTGCTCTGCTCTTTGCACGTGTTTTCCTTTAAATGACTCACAGAGAAGCTCCCCCAGGTTTCAGCCTCTGTGAAGCTGTGTGCCAAGCCACGCTTCGACCAGACGACGGTAAAACAGACCCACAAGACCCGTCTGTCCGCGTTCTGAGTGAAGCTTTCTGTCTGGCACGCCGCCAAAACCTCTCCGCCTCCCTCCTCCCATCCAGGAGCAGTCATGACAACTGCCCGCATGGACAGATGGACAGAGATCTTGACCTTGAGGTGGCAGCTGGTTTTTTTTTGTGTGCTAAGGATTGAACCCAGGGGTGCTTAACCCCTGAGCCCCACCCCCAGCCCTTTATTGTATTGTTTTTAGAGACAGGATCTCCCTGAGTTGCTTAGGGCCTCGCTAAATTGCTGAGGCTGGCTTTGAACTTGTGATCCTCCTGCCTCAGCCCCAGCGTGCGCCACCCTGCCTGCTGCTGGCCGCTGTTCTTGACACAGATGAGCTTTGGGACCGGCTCCTGTGACTTCAGACTTCACAGCTCCTATCTCTCTCCAGCAGCCCTGGGAGGCAGGTGCGGCCCTCTCCCTCCTACTGCAGCAGGGGAAAGGGAGGCCCAGAGAGGTTAAATGACCGATCCAGGCCACACAGCTGCTCAACGGCTGGGCAGACCCAGCTGTTGGGATTGGAGCCTGGGGTCTCCGTGTAAAGGCCCAGGTTTTAAAAACCTTCCAACATCTCTAAGTGGTAGAAAAGATTGTTTCCATTTTTCACACAAGAAAATAGAGATACATGAAGCTTCAATAAATTGTCCAAGCTCTTAAGAGGCAGTACCAGGGTGTCGGGGGGTCAACAGCCAGCGTCTCACTGGGGGTTCTTCTTCCCACCCAGGAGGGTGTAAGCCACCCGAAAACTTAAAATCTCAAATAATTAGTGAATAACAAAACACAAATTCTCAGAAATATATATACAAAAGGCGAAGCCCCTGATAGATCTCGTCCACATGGGAGCTGGAACCAGACAGAGTCAAGATGGCTCCCGTTGTTTATTTAAGAGGCACATCAAAGGCAGGGGTAAGGTTTCAGGGGCAAAGTCTCCCTACCTGATTCTTGCAGTCAGCAGGCTGATTGGCATCTTGGCAGGTCACACCCTTCTCAGGTGCTTGTGGGCCACGGCAGAGCAGGATAGAAACCCACAGTGTCCCTGGCGATTGACTAGAGGAAATGACAAGTGGCCCTTCCCAGACACCAGATGTCTCTACCCCGGGGGGCTTCCATGCCGG